GGGGGGTGAGCATATATATATATGTGTGTAAATGTGTGTGTTTGGTGTATGCGTGTATACTTGATGTTAGTATTAGTATGCATATATATGTATTAATATTTATCTATATCTATATATGTAGATATGTCTGGGCGTGTACACACACACACACGTTTGTACATGCTTTGATGCTTTGTGGCTTGTCAGACATGGTGTCTCATCGTCTCCCAAGCATCAGCCTGAAATCTGGCTCACCCGGAGTTACCTTTGAACAGTATGGCATACGATGCTGAACCTAAGCCTTAGCCGCAGCCTTGGACTTCCTTTTCCTGCCTCCACCATCTCTCCACACCGCGCCAGAAGCGTCGCCAGCTTCTCGAGGCTCAGGAGGCTGTCCTCAAGGCGAGGCATCGGTTCGTTGAAACCTTCGTTCATAAAGTCTCCACCTTGTCCGGCAAAACGCAAAGGAAAAAGGCTGAGACAAGCCAACCTTCGTGGGAAATCTCCGTGCAAAGTGTGGGTTTGGACACGCATAGTAAGGGAATCACCTGCACGTGGCCAAATCATCCAAGCCACCGTGTGAAACGGACCCTGCGCATAGTATCTCGCCTGGCACACGGCTCGTGTGGCAGTCTGCATCCGACTTTCCTGTGTTTCCTGCGTCCTGCGGCTGCAGTGTGAAAAGCTGAGAACCCAGAGCCTCGTAGACTCGTCGCCGGACGGCACGAGCCTGGTAAGCAAAGCTCATTTCTCCCGTGAAGGCTCCATGATCCCAGCACTCAGCAGGAAAATGAGAACAGTAGCACACTTCCGAAAGGGATGTGAATCTGCGGCCTTTGCTTGCTTCAACTGATTTTTCAAAATCCCCTCAACTTCGAATGACATGTCATGGAATGTGCTTTGCCTCCTCCATGCGCGAGCCCTCCTCTTCCAGCGAATCTGCCTGCGCCGTCAGCCAGTCCAGGATACGTGCGATAAGGAGTACGAAGCCGGCTGCATGGTAGAAAGACCCCTCTCCACTCTACAGGATGCTGAGTGGTTGCCTGCGCCTCGCGGGAGGAAAACAGATTTTCTTTGCGGCACGAAACGACTGCCATCCCTGAACTTCTCCTGCCGCCCAAGTGCCAGATACTCCTCTGCGGTGATGGTATCAGGATGCTCCGGGCTCAGGTCCTCCAGTGCTGAGCTCTCGCAAATCTTTGTTCGCTGTGCTGTGTGAAGTCAACTGGTGCTGGTGCTAACCGGCGAAGTGATATGCGAAATTTTACAACCGAGCCAATGCATATCTGTCTCTGCCGTGTTTGGTTAGGCACCTTCCGACTTCCGCGATTATTCGCAAGCACTCTAAGCGCTTAGGCGTCATCCTACAGAAGCTTGCTTTGCACAGCCGGTGGAGTGAAAGACACGACGATCATCAAAGCAATAGGGCCGAAGCATCCTTATGCACACTGCTTTGCCAATGCTAACTCCGCCGGACCGTACCTCCAAAGCACCCCCTTTTTCAGGATCAACACGGTGAGGGGGCCTTCTTGAACCGCGAGTGCACCTCGCGGCAGAGGCCTTCGGCCTCCCGGAACTGGCCCCGTGCCTAGGCTGCAGACAGTCGTACCTCAGGACCTCTGAAAGAGCGAAGCCTCCTGTTTGTTGGGGTAGAATAAGGGCTGTTCAAGGGTTCTTTAAAGGTTCAGCAAGTGAGGCACAGTTGGAAGCGCCTAGAACACAAAGACCTGGTTTTGCATTTGGACTTGCGCAACCGCCAGACTTCGCAAACCCGACGAAACGTGTGGATGAACCACACCCCCCAGCTCTCTGCAGCAATGAAAGACATGAGAGAGAACTTCAGAACAAACCTCTCGGAACGCTGCCGTCAATCCCCCGACAGTCTCAAAGCCGGCTCCAAGCCACTCGCAGCACTGCAGAGAAATGGAGTACACTACGAAGGGTGTCGGGGTGATGGCCACCCAACTTGCTCCTAACCGTTCGCAGCTCATGATGCAAGAGCTTTGTTGCTGAAGCGCGTTCGGTTGAGGGGCTTGTCTGATTTGTCGTTTCATGCGTGCTGGCTGTCGCAGTCGTCGGATTATGGAGGTCAAAGGAAGCGAAAACACTGCATGCAGCTAAGAACCGCTGCATGCCTCGGCCTCCCGATCCCCTGTGAAAGCTCGCCACACTGGGCGACGTCAAGTTCACATAAGCAACCCTAAAACCGCCTGCAGAAACCAGAAAGGGCCACCCTGAGAATACCGCCTACCCCAACCGCTTTTTTCCAACCCCTGTAACGAAGCGGTCAACAGGAACCCAAAGCAAAAGCACCGAAACCCTTGCTCACGGTCCCCGTCCTGAAGCCCTCCAAGGCCTTCCTGGCCAGAGGCTCCGCGTCATCAAACTTCCCCAGCGCCTGGTTCGGGTTGAGGGCGACGACGCTTTGGATCTGCCACCACTGATATAGAGAAAAAGCTCCCAAGAAGATGACTGTGCACTATCTGTTGGTATTCTTAAAGCAATGATAGCAAGAATAGCCATCATAATTTATAACATAATAACCGATAACAACAACATGATGAGTTTTCTGTCTGGCTCCTGCATTTCCGGCCAGAGTGGGAGAGGGCAACGGGGCCGGGGCCCAGAAAGGCGTGGAAATCTGGTTTGGACTCTCACAACTCGGGCAATGCAGGCGACGCTGATCCATGGTTCGCAGCTAAGGGATTTTGGAGTTTAGGGTTTACACTCTTGCAACTCGGACTCCACCACAGGAGGTCTCTGTGTCCCACCATGGGGTGTAGGGTTTAAGTATATTAGAAGCCAGGACCTGTGACTGGGGCTTCTGGCTTGTCCTTCTCCAGCTTCGGACCCAGTCGGGAAAGTCACAGGGCCAAGTCGCTAAGCTAGGATTATGAATAAACGGTGAATACTGGGCTGATGTTTCCTATTTCCTGAGCTCGTCACGTGGGTTGAGTGCGTAGTGCTAGTAAACGGGAGTGAGTCAGGAAAGATCGCAGGCCGAACAATAAGACTATAAGGTACGCTCAACAAAGCAGGATGCAACAGACAGCCACAACACCATCAAAATTCCTGCAGTTCCAGATAGTTCTAGCCCTCGCAAGTTTTCTCGAAGAATGGCGGTGAGCCGCGCTTGGGGTCGGCACACGAGTGGACGAGCAACAAGCGGGCAAAGAGGGATGAACCCCCGGTGAGTAGACAAAACTTAGCAAAACTGCGGCGCAGAGCCACGGATTGCACACGCCTCAGGCGTAAAGTTAAAATGGAATTTAAAAACTGTACAAGCGCACAACCTTCTGCTTTGCTGGAAAGTCTGTTGTGCACCCCCCTGCGCTTGGCGCTCGGGGTATGATCATGATCAAAAATTCACATCCATTTCCATGTCGTCCACAAGAAACCTGGTGAGCTTTCGCTCCCAGGTAGGGTAAAGCGTGTCACTGACACCCAGCACAGCTCGCGCCCGAGCGGAATGTTGACGTTTCCTTTGGTGCACCAGAGAACTCAAGTTCAGGCTGCAACAACCAACAGCAAAACACACCAGCTCAATGAGATGTTAGATATCAGAAATGACACGAAAAGCACGCTGCTAGCGCTACTGCTACTGAACTTTCTTCTGCTATTGATTGCCACTGCTTCTTCCACTGCGACGACGACCACCCCTGCTCCCGCTTCTGATCCTCCTGCTGCTGCCCTGTCACCACGATATCTACCACCATACTACCACGATCACGACGACGACCATCGACGACTGCTGGAAGACTTTGTGTGCTCGGCCGCAGCCACTCAGCTTCTGCTACTGTGCTGCTGCCTCTGTGCTACCACTGCCGCGATCTGACGCTGCTGCTGCTGCTGCTGCTGCCGCCGCCGCACCGGCTGCTGCTGCTGCTGCGATCCGACGACGACGACGACGACGGCGGCGGCACCCCGGCGCGCTGCGACCACTGCCAACTACACAGCGAGAAGAACCGGCAACAACCGCGACGACGATGACGACCGCCACCACTATCCTACAAATCACACGACTACGACGATGATGATGATGGTGATGATGCTGATGATGATGATCGTGATCATCATGTTACTATGGGGAGGTTCATCATGGACATCTTGATGTTCACTGAAGATCATGGAGATGGGAATGCCAGTGACGGCCATCCTCAAGACGACCACAGCAACTCACCAGGATAGTAAAAAGCACAACAAAAACAACCACAACCACAACCACAACCACAACAACAACAACCACAACCAACAACAACCACAACCAACATCAACAGCAACAAAAACATATATATATATATAATTATAATTATATTATATATATATATATATTAAAGAAATGGTCTATCAAAGTAGTTGCACAAACTGGCATGATAAACTGACGGCTGGCCAAGCACTTCCTGAAACGGGAAATCGTCGCGACACTCCATGGTTTGACATTTCAAGCCACGCCACAGCATCTGGTTGGCCTGCCGACTTCGAGATGTAAGCCGCTCCCTTGCATCGCCCGCATGACCTTGGACATTTTCGTGTCGAGCTGCCTCAAGTCCTTGGCTGCGGATCGAAACGAAACGCCTGATTCTTGGGACTGTGCGCGGAACCCACTACAGCGCATTCTGGAGGCAGGATTGGCCTGGAGCTTCATTATCCACCCCTGTCATCTTCGCATCGTCCCTTCCCTTCCGGCTTCCCTTCACGTGAAGCTGTGCACTTCCTGCGAATGCTTGCATGAGCCTGAAGACGATTGGAGTTCGCGAACTCAACTCGGAACTTCCGCCCCCCAATGCGATGCAAAGTGCGAAAAGGCCATACTGAAGACTTAAGGCAGGCATCCGCAAGCATTGCAACTTGATCCATTGCGCGAGCAGGTCCTTTGCAGCGCATGATGCCATCCTGGAGAAGAGAGTTGGCATTGTTGAGTTACGGTACTTTGTTGAGAGCTTTCGGTTCGGTTGAATCGCTCAAACCACTTGGTGTTGCCACGCACTGGACTACTTCCTCCGATTCCCTACACCTGTTTCCAGCGTACAGTCTGGATGCTTAGAACATGCTCCAAAATAACTCGCGATGCGCTGGGTTGCCCCTCGGAAACTAGTTCTATGATGACGAGTCACGGCGGGTACACAGTCGGGCATGGAGACAGCTGGGTCAACAAATGCATAACGAAACGCAACTTAAGCTGGACGAGAAGCAATGAACTCTTCGTGTGTAACCTCTCCGTCACCTAGGCGGTTCCGTGACTAGCCGGGACAAAGTATAAGCTTTTGAGGTTACTTATACTATCTGACTATATTAGGAACCTGCAGACAAGAAAGGTTGAAAAAGTATACCACTGAACAACCTAGGTCGCCATTGTCGAGAATGTGAAACAGCGCCGCGCTCTCTGAGACCTTCGGCTCCAGCTGCTCTCGCTGAGACATTCGGTTAAACAGCTTCCGATTTGGCACACAAGACCAAACCTACAGCACAGCGACAAGCTGGACAGGAAACAAAATCAATATACGACCTCCTGAAACCCGTCCAAAGTAACCCTATCCATCATCAGTGCCGACCTATCAGCCAAGCGGCATCGATGTCGAGAGTCCTAAGCATGTGCAAGACCGTGTGTTCTTCCTCTGCTGTTCGGGCTTATCGAAGGTCCTTGCGGAAGTCCTTGCCGAACACTGATTGACACCGAGCATGCCGCCATGCAGCCAAGGTCAAACACCAACCCCCAACTGCAAACCCAGCAATCCATCCTCCACTTGCATCAGGGCAGCTGGAAGTAGGCCACTGCGGTGGGGTTTGAGAAGACTTTTGCCAGCTTTTCTTCTGTGATCATACCATCGCCTCCGGAGATTCTTGCAGGATTTAGGATTCCCGGCGACGTCAGGCTTGGCTATCGCGAGCTTTACTGCAGGGGCGAGCCCTTAAATCGGTACAACAGGACGTCTGTATAGAGACAGATAGTGACCGGCGATCATATGACGGGCTTGGCAGTGGCTCACAGTCCATTTTCGCCGTGCTGTGTGTGGCTTGAGGGTGTCGATGCCCACTGGGAGGGTGCTGCCGCAAAACCAGAATCATGGCAGCCATTTACCTGCATCTGCCATGCCGACGCACGATGTAACGCAGCGATCGCGAGTCTCGACTTGGCAGCACATACATGCCGCCGTGGCACAGTGCACAGAGCATGAAAATGCATTACACCAGAAGATAGCTATGGTATATTATGCGATCATGTTGCAGGGTAGCATGACCTGCTGGAGCAATGCAGTACCCAGTTGAAGATACAATCGAATCTTGAACGCAAGAAGGCAAGGGGACCATTCAAGCACATTCTGTGTACTTGTATGCATTGCGGAACAGCTCTGGCCCTCTTGCGAACAGTTTCAAGCAACTTACTCAGGTGCTATTTCTAGAGGTTGAGAGGCTTTCCAGGCAAGGTATCTTGCAGATTCCTGGGTCCAGCCTGAGTCGTCGATGGCTGCGAAGACATCTTCCAGCTTCTGTAGATATTCCGCCTTCTTGCGCAGCCGTTGAAGGACCAAGTTCCTTCGAGAGTGGACCCGACTCCGACTTTCCGTGACTTCGTCTCGAATCACGCATACATCCCAAGCTGGAAGCGGCCGTTCGAGTTAAGTGTAGGCCGGGTTGCTCGGCGTCGTTTTGCGCTGCGTCCAGGGTGTCCTTGAGAAATATGGCACTGATCAGGCCTCGGCAGTAGTGTTGTTGTAGTGCAGGGACTCCACGAACGTCTTCTGCACGGAAGGGGGAAAGGGGAAAGAGGAAGGGGAAGGAAAAACGAAGCCAGATCCTTAGATGCGCCGCCACGAAGTGCCATGCCATCGGACCTTGGTCATCTTGCATGTAAGCATGCAAGGTCTAGGACCTTAGAGTCTGCGTAACAGGCAGCGCTGCCCGCCCACTCTTCTGCACGCAGCTGAGGACCAACTCAACTCTCATGTCTGGCCGCCCACAGGGCAGAGAGACAGTTAGCTAGGTGCGCAAGCACCCGACGATCCGATGCAGCACGAGGCCCTTTACGGATCCATCCGAACCTCGCCACGAGGAGGTTCTCCGGACACTCAGGTCTAGGGCCCAAGCCAGGGCACCCGCAATGCCAGGCCAGATGCTCCCAAGAACCCGGACTGTGGCCACACAGAGAACATCTGTCGGGCAACTGCTGCGAGACAGAGAGCCAGGCGTCGGAGACTACCGCTCCGAGCAGCACAGCCCGACAGGCCCCACCGAGCTGGAGAGCCTGCCGCGTCTTCTCCAGATCTATGGCCTGGAAGTCTCTAAGGAGGCGGCGGAGGCCCCTTCGAGACACCAGATCCCTTGCTTCGTGCCTGGCCCCTAAGGCCCAATCCAGAAAGTGCTGTGCGCGCCACTGGTAGCGCAGAGCATGCAGCTGTCGCGACAGGACTTGCTCCGAGCACGGGGCCTCCAGCGACAGGACTCTCTCCTCAGCACTACTGTGCGCATTGCCGTGTCTCCAGACCCAGGGCCTAGACTCACGCCAGCCCTGCTCCTTGAGCCACCGACGAAGGAGGCCGACCGAGGACGCGGCCCTGTCGTGCCAGCGAGTCACGATGCCTCGGTGTCGCCGACGGCACAGCCGTGCGAAGAGCCCCGAAGCAACCTTAACGTCCAAGTGCAAGGCTCCACCAAACAAGACTCTGCGGAGGAGCGGACTGGAGGCCCGATGCTGGTGGTTAGTAGCCCTCGAAAAGGCCTGGAAGAGGCCATCCGTCACCCGCCTTGTCGGAAGCTTGCCTATCCAGCCGAAACCAGCAATGGAGCCCACAAAGTACTGGAAAGCCTTCTGCATCTGAAACCAAGGGAGCCCAGTGCATCTCAGGAGCGAGGCTCTGCGAGCCGCCCGCGCCAGGCGATCCGTTTCTGTCTCACTGTCTCGCCTCCTGCCCGACGTGACCGTGGTACAGCCCAAGATCTTGGCATCCTCGCGTATCCAGGCCGGGTCAGCATTGAGCGCCAGCAACGTGCGACTGGTTCTGCCCTTCGCCGTGATCTGGGTCTTGGAGGTAGACTCCTTGAGCCCAACACGGCGACTCCAGGAGGTCCAGCTGTTGATGCGCTCCTCCACCCCACTCCATCGGCTCGCCCACCAGCTGCGGTCGTCCATATACACGCGGGTAAGGGAAGCCCCAGTGTGGGTAAGCTGGGCCTCCGTCCAACGAACACCACTGGTCATCCAGATCAGGAGCGTGACCGGTGCCAAGGGGCATCCCTGCGGAACGGCCGACGCCTTGAGCACGTCGGAGCTGGTGTGTTGATCCCAGCTCACGAACCTGTCGTGAACCCATGCCTGCCGCATGAGCCGACACAGCTCACCGGGCCAACCAAGCTGTTCCAGCGCGGCGGTGGCGGCGTCGCCCTGCATACGGTCGTAGCATTGTGCATAATCAAGCGAGGCAAGGAAGCCTCCGTTACACACGAGAGCATCCTGCAGCTCGGACGCCAAGTCCTCAGCTCCCGCAGCCCCAGCGCGCGAACCGATTTCGGTGGGCAGGTTGCTGTCCATCCACGCCCTGGCCTTTCGGCTCCACGCGCTTGCAAAGATCCGCCAGAACACGGACATTACGCTTATTGGCCGGCAATCCCCCACGGAGAGCCGGCGATTGGCACGCACCTTGTGCGCCTTTACCAAGTTTACCATGCGAACCTGGCGAAGCTGGAGCGGCAAGGTGCCGCATCGTAGCCACTGCTGGGTCAGGAGAAACCAGGTGTGCACCGCCTCAGGAGGTAAGCAGCGGACTTCTGCAGCGCTCCAAGAGTCTGTCCCTGCGGAACCAGACGCCTTGGCCAGCGCCGTTCTGAGGTCTTGCTCGGACCACTCAGACCAGGTAGTGACCACTGGCCTGCCAAAGTCCTGCACGAGGGTGGCGGCGATGGCTTCAGGAGTAGGGCTCTCCGCCTGTCGCTGCTCCATCCAAACCTGACGCCAGTGTCGATTGATCTTGTCCGTGACCTCCCGACTGTCCAACGCGTCCCCTTGGTCGTCAAAGACCACTACTCCTGCAGGGTCCTGGTCCTTACCGCGCAGCCAGCGCGACAGGCCCTGAAGCGAAGGGTCCCTGAGCTGGTTCCGCCACTCAGTGCAGTTTTTCTGCTTCTGGGACTTCTCTAACGACTCGCGAGAGCTCTTCGTGTCGCTAATCTCCTGCCTACACAGCCCGGCAAGCTGAGTGACCCTGTCAGGGAGAGGGCGGTTTCTCCACAACTTAGCACACAAAGCAACCATTGCAGGCGTGAGTTCCTGCTC